CAACTATCAACACTCATGGAAGCAGCAGTCAAGAAATCAAACAACGTATTGCATTAGGCAAATCTGCCGCACAAGACCTTTTTAAAGTGTTGAAGAGCAAAGATGTCAGCTTGAGGACTAAGGTGCTCCTGACTCAAGTCTTGGTATTTTCAATAACCTCATATGCATGCAAAAACTAGACAGTAAATAAGGAAGGCCGTAGAAGAATTGATGCTTTTGAGTTATGGTGTTGGAGGAGAATATTGAAAGTGCCATGGGCTACCAAAAGAACCAATACATCTGTTTTGGAAGAAGTGCAGCAAGAGTGCTCCTTGGAGGCCAAGATAGCCAAACTTCGTTTCTCATACTTCGGACATATTGTCAGGAGGGACCCGTCGCTGGACAAGGATATCATGTTTGGTAAGGTGGAGGGTCAAAGTAAAAGAGGAAGACCCTCAACGAGATGGATTGGCCAAGTGGCAGCATCGATGGACTCAAGTGTGGCAGCAGTAGTGAGGTTGGCCCAGGATCGGGCAGGGTTTCGTTCTGCCGTGCAAAAGGTGTCTAAGAGTCAGTACTGACTCGAAGGCACCTAACAACAACAACAAGGAGCTCCGGTAGCGTAGTGGATACGATTCGGCCTTCTAACCTCAAGGTCAGCAGTTCGAAACTACCAGCTGTTCTGTTCAGCAGGAGAAAGATGAGGCTTTGTGCTCTCATAAAGATTTACAGCCTCAGAAACTGTGTGCAGGGTTACTATGAGTCAGAACTGACTCCACGGTACTTAATAACAACAATAGTCCCCTGGTATCTTCATTCCGTGGCCAGACCTGTGTCCCCCATTTTCCTCTCTGCACAGCCTCCCAGCTGCCTAACCTGCAGTGTCCCCTTCCTGAACTCTCCCTTCCCGGCTCCCATCCAGTCTGAGGCACAGGACCTTCCTAACCATCTCCTCCATTCTGACACCCTCACACGGACTTTCTCCACTTCTGTCCCCAGGCATAGTCCCTCCAGTTCATCACCAACAGACCACCAGAATGACATTCCAGAATGCCGCCATATTGCCACTTCTCAGCCTAAAACACCTCCCCCTGCAGCCCTGAAAGCTGACTTCTGACAGCTCTTCCTTCTCCACCTCATGGTGCCCCACCCCTACCCAGTTCCTTTTAGCAGGGATCTTCTAGGGTGGTCCTCAGGCCACCTGCACCTGACAGGAACTGAGTTGTTTGTTAAAATGCAGATTCCTGAGCTAGTCATCCCTAGGAATCTGAATCTCCGGGGTGGAAAATGGCAATCTGCATTTCTAACAAGGGCCTAGGTGATCTGATGCCCATTCTGGCTTAAGACAGGCAATATCCCCAGCGCTGAAGCCAGGCCTTGCTCCCTCTCCTAGTCACACCAACCCTGCTCCCACTAAACCTGCCGAATGGCCACCTTTCCAAAGCCCTCCTGGCACTGCCTGCACTGTGGCTCCCCACGCAGAGCTGGGGGAGGGCAGCTGCTCCTCTCTGCTCCCCAGTGTCCAGCACAGACCCCGGCATAGACAGTTCTTGGTAATCGAGTGCTGAGTGGAGGAGCGTGTGGAAATGCCCACTCTGCCAGCAGGACAAGTCTTTACCTGAAAGTAAAATGTCTGGATGGGCTCCCCGTCCTGGTCATAGGTGAACTTCCCAAGGAGCGACCCCTCCTGCTGCAGGTTTTCGTCAAAGCCCTGCAAAGGAAAGTGAGAGTGGAGGGACAGCACATGCTCCCGCCACCTGGGGAGGCACCATAGAGACAAGACACCCTCAGTTTGCAATAAGAAACTCCTCCCTCCTCTCACAACCTCTTGTACCTGACCCCTCGGTTTCTGAGGAACTGAAGCAGGTCTGAGCCCGGCTCAAGGCCAAGGGTCCCAGCTTGGACCTGGGGCTGTTGTGTGTCCTGTGACAAGTTACTTAACCCTCTTGGGCCTCGGTTTCTGGGACTGAAGGACTCCAGTCCCATCCTGTTCTCCCGGCCCACCTCCTTCAGAATCTGCCTCCCGTCCCACTCCAGCCACATTCTCCACAATGTGGGCCCACGGGATCCACCTACAGCCTCCGTGGGTACTCACAAAGACGGCAAAGTCCTTGGGGGCACTGGAGATGGTGCTGTTGGGTGACAGGGATTTGGGCACGTGCTCCAAGGTAACAGCAGTGGGGCGGATGAGGGCGGAAAGGCGGACCACAGCAAAGCCCTGGGGACCCTGGAAGGCCCAGCAGTTGCCTGGATGCACGTCAGGCTGCATTGGAGGAGAGTCATGTCAGGAGGACTTTGGGGGTAGACAAGAGACCCCGCCCTCATCCTTTCTGGGGTCCAGGACATGGTTGAGCTGGCAAGGTCCTCCTTTGGGTCCTACCTGGAGAATGACTCGGGGCGACTGGGAGTGGTACCACAGGGGGATACCGAAGAGGCTGAGGAGGGCGGTCTTGGTCTCATAGGTCTCAGAGCAGCGTGTACTGATAACACTGGCCCCTAAAATGGGAAAGGCAGGTCGAGGGGGGCTGGGGCTGGGAACCAGAGTGGGAGGAAGCCCAGCTCACCAACCAAGGGGGGGATTGATGGGAGGGCAGCAGCAACCAGAGGGGCCAGTGCCCTCTCAGCCTCCTCTCCAGACCTACCTCAGCTCCACAGAGCCACAGAACAGCGCTCTGAGTACCCAGTCTCTCCAGCCTGGTGGGCCTGGTGGCTAGCTCCAGGCTGGCTGAGAGCCTCCAAACTCAGCCTCACTTGCCTAGCCTCTCTGGGGCCCTGGCTCATGCTAATGGGACCAGGGGCTGGGGCCCACCTCCTGATTCCAGGGCGTAGTCCACCATCCCAATGCGGTCCTCGCTGTATCGCTTCAGGGCCCGGTCCACGATACGCTGCACTTGCTAAAGTTAGTGAGACAAGTGTTGTTCAGATGAGTCTGTCCCATGCCCCCACCACCCTCTGGGCCAGACACCCAGGTTCTGAGCGCCCACTTTCTCACCTGTGGCTGCCACTTTTGAGACTGGGTATCTGGCACACACTCCATTTACCTCCAGAACCTCCACCCACCCACTCTCCCATGGCAGCTCCAAAGCCCCCATCACTTCTGCCCTAGAAGATTCTAGGGGCAGGCACTATGCATGGGGTCACACTGGTGGTGTGCATGTGTTCTCACCTCCTCCGTCACCCCGATCACACCTTCCTTCTGCAGCGTCAGCCCCAGGCTAGCTGCAACCTCCCGGGCTGAAGTGCCTTGCATCTTGGCCACGTGAGTGAGGATCTTGCTCTCCAGCTCCTGCAGCCGAGCCTCTAGCTCCTCCTCCTGAAGGAGTCCTGTGCGGGCCCCCCCACCTCGGGCCAGAAACTGAGTGACCCAGGCGGGGAACTGCGACTCCACCTGGGGACAAGGACAGGTCTCAGTCGGGGAGGCTCTTGGAACGGTGGGGCTCAGCTAGGCCAAGGGGTTAGGAGGGAACAAGGCCTGCAGGGGTGCAGCTAAGAAGAACCCCTACTGAGCATCAGCAGGACAACAGGAAGGCTGTTGTGTAGGTTCCCAGGAGAGGGGGTTTGGCAGAGACCTAGCACCTCTGTGTGGGTGTCAAGGATCGTTCCTACTCACGTCATCGCGCATAGCCTGGATCTGCTGGGGCAGCTGGTTCACGCGGTCTTCCACAGAACCCTGTTTCAGGGCCAAGGCTGCCAGTTCCTGCCGCAGGCCTGCCAGTTGGCCCTCCAGCCGTCCCAGCTCCTTCATGGAGTTCTCCCGGAAGGATTCCTGGGTCATCCTAATTCCAAAGAGAGACGTGTGATCCTTGGCTGTCTTCTTTGGAGGGGCCCTGAGTTGGATGTGTTCCGGCAGCTGACTCTTGGTGCTTCTGGCTGCAGGTTGAGCCCAGGGACTTATATGCTCACCCCAAGAAGCTCATCTGAGCCTGTCTCCTCTCTCAGCCCACAGTCTCCAAACTCCTGGAATGCACAGGGCATGGGAAGGCAGCCTCCCCACATTGTGTCACACAGGCCGGCAGGCTAGTCTACACAGCTGGTCCTGTGCCAGGTTCCCACCACTCCCCAGCCCCCCCAGCCCTCCCCAGGGAGGGTGGTATGGAAAGGGAAGAGCAGATGTGGGCCACATGGTGCAGCCCATTACCTTTGCCACTCTGACTTCAGTTGCTGGAGACGAGTCTCAGATTCCTGGGGGCAGGAAGCAGAGATAAAACAGCAAGCTTAGAGAAACTGGTCTCCCAGAGGGGATCTGTTCCATGTTGGGGGTCTTTGCTTAGTCACACCTCTGCCCCAGTCTCCCCTGAGTCCAGCAGCAATTGTCAAACTAGTCTCCTGGCCCTATCAGTGCCCTCAGGCCCACCCCACACACACACCCCCTCCCAGACTCCCAGAGAAGTCAGTGACCCCCTGCCCCATTCTACTTCTAAGCAGCCACTTGAAAAGGACCAACGGTCCAAGGTGTCCATTTTAGTCCATGAACAGATGTTGAATTGGGGCGGGACCCTGGGGTGGGTGCCTCCGCACCCCCCTGACCTGGGAAACCTGGACGATCTTCTTGAAGAGGTCTTCTGAGTCTTGCTGATGTTCTGCCCTCAAAGCAAGCAGCTCTTCCTGCCAAACAAGGAGCAGAGACCTGGGATTTTACAGACTCACACAGTTCAACCCCAAGTCTGCTAGCTCCCAAAGCCGGAACTCTTGCAAGCCGATGTGGCATCGGGCATTCTGTGGCACTTTATTTATGATCTTGTATCCTCACCACTGTGTGGGATAGGTATTTCAAAGAAAAGGAAACTCAGGTAGAGTGACAGCTAAGAGACAGCGCTGTCTGAGCCCTAAGGGACAGTGCCGTGTGGCATATCCCCTTCCCCGATGACAGCCTCTGGAAACTCAGGCCCCTCCTGCAGGCCGCGGCTTCTCTCCCCACCTGAATCCGAGCTGCTGTGTCCCTGCGGAAGTCCTCCCTCAGCATGGCCTCGCGGCGGCTCACAATCCCTTCCAAAATACCCAGCGTGTCCTCTTGGCTCAGGCCGCCACCCTGGCTCCCACCCTGGCCGGCTGTCCCCTGCCGGAGCTCCAGTCGCTCCAGTCGCAGGGCCTCCTTCTGCCAGTTGGAGGAGAACTCGGCAGCCAGAGCTTCCAGGCGCCGCTCCAGGGAGTGGACGCGGGACAGGATACGCTGTTCAGCCTGGTGGGGGGTGGGGAAATGCCAGTCAGGTGAGTGGCCCCTAAGTGTCATCACACAACTGTGCTCCCTGAAGACAGGTCATTTGGAGCCAGCTGCACAGAAAGAGAAATTAATCCAGAAAGGACCAAATGTGAGCATATTCTTGGGATCTGTTGGGACATCTACTGCTTGGGAGACAGGTTAATTTAGCAGCAGGTGGGTACCAGGAGAGAGGGAGGCACAGGGCCAGAGAGGAGGGTCCCTGGTACCAGGTGGGGTTCAGGCCTGAGGCAGGAGTAAGTGTCGGCCAGGTGAGGGACAGTTCTCAGAGTCAGGAGGACATGTGCCTGGTGCTGACCTGGGCACTGAAGCCCACCTCCCCTCCCTCCTCACCTGTGCAGGTGGGAGAGGGATGGTCTCCAGAGGAGGGGCTGAGCATTCACTTGAATCAGCTTTCACTACTTAATCACACAAACCAAACCTACTGCCTTGGACTCCTACCTGACTCCTAGCGCCCCTACAAGCCAGAGCAGAACTGCCCCACAGGGTTTTCAAGGCTGTCAGCTTTACTCCAAGGAGCCCAGCTAGTATGTTGTTAGGTGCCATCAAATCGGTACCAACTCATAGTGACCCTATGCACAACAGAATGAAAAACTGCACAATTCTGAATCAACCTCACTATTGTTGCGACACTTGAGCCCATTGATGCTGCCACATTGCCCATTCATCTCCCTGGGGGGGTCTTCCTCTTTTTCTCTGATCCTCTACCTTACCAAACATGATACCCTTCTCCAGCAACTGGGCCCTCCTGACAATATGTCTGTAGTATGAAACACAAAGTATGCAACAGGAGGCTTTCTGTTCCCGTAAAGATTTACAGCCTCAGAAACCCCATTGTTGTTGTTGGTGTTAGGTGTCATTGAGTCGGTAGTGACTCATAGCGACCTTATGTACAGCAGAACGAAATACTGCCCAATCCTGGGTCAACCTCACTACTGTCGCCAACTCTACAGCACATAACCACCACCACCACTAATCTTAACTCCTGGTGTGAGGCTATAGGGTAAGCACTAGAGTGCTAACTACAAGCTCAATGGTTTATACCCACCAGTTGTTCCTTGGAAACCTGTACAGGGCCACTAGGAGTTGGAACGGACTCGACAGCACTTAACCACAACAATCTCTACCAAGGCCTGGTGGTGGAGTGGGTTATGTGTTGGGCTGCTAACCACAAGCTCAGCAGTTTGAATCTACCAGCTGCTTCTCAGGAGCAAGATAAGGAACAATTTACAACCTTGGAAGCCCTATGCAGGGTCCCTATGAGTTGGCACCAACTCAATGGCATGCAACAGTAGTAATCTAGGTGTAGGCTAGGCACTGGACTGCTTACCATAGGGTCGGTGGTTCAAACCCACCAGCTGCTCCTCAAAACTCTATACAGTGTCACTCTGAGTGGGAACTGACTCGATGGCCCTTAACAACAAATCTTTACAGAAGCAGATTGCCACATCTTTCTTCCTCAGGGCAGCTCATGGGTTAGCAGCTGAGCGCTGTAGCCACTGTGTCACCAGGCCTCTTAGTCCCTTGATAACCACAACTAAAAATCAAAATAATTCCGAAAGGTTTTGATTTTGCTTTTTAACTGGATGCCCAGGGAGGAGACGGAATATGAGGGAGCTTCAAAAAGTTCGAGGAAAAGTTCCATGATCTTTTCATTCTGTTTTTCCACAGACTGTTTTTAAAGTCCCTTCATAGTTGCTTGGTTTGGGAGGACACTGTTGGATAGGGCAGAGGGGGGAATATGACTTTCTTTTTATGGCTGTGTGTTTGTTGAGTGTGCAAATGTATCTAGCCTATTCAAAATATCCAAAGGCGTCTCAGTCACCAGTAGGGCCCTGTCGTCTAATTGACAGGAGACAGGCTGGCTTATAATTTCTCTTGACAAAGATTTTTGTGTTAAGCTAGTAAGGTCTCAGATCTTATGACACTATCAAATGCCACCCTCACGTCCAAATGACACAGGCAGAGGCAGGCTCGGTCTCTTTTTCCATCCTTGGATGGTTGCTTGCTTCTTGGGCCCCCACAGGCCTACAATGTTGTTGTTGTTAGGTGCCATCGAGTTGGTACTGACCCATAGTGACCTTATACACAGCAGAATGAAACACTGCCCAATCCTGGGCCAACCTCACTTCTGTTGCCACACTTGAGTCCATCAATGCTGCCACTTGGCCAATCCATCTCGTTGGGGGTCTTCCTCTTTTTCTCTGACCCTCCACCTTACCAAGCATGATATCCTTCTCCAGTGACTGGTCCCTCCTGACAATATATCCTAAGTATGAGAGATGAAGTTTGGCCATCGGGCCTACAATACTCACCTGGAAATGTGGGTTAGACTCTCTGGGCTCCCAAACCTCCTGCTGCCTGCTGCGGCCCTTGGCTGCCCACCAGGACACTATGGAGGGCTGGAACAACTGCAGCCCATAGGGATAGAAATACCAGGCACCTGTATACAGGGAGAGACCCGTTAGCAGGCGGGTACTAGGCGGGTGGAGGCCACAGCCTCCTGGAGGTGAGGTTCCACATTCCTGAGACAACCAACCACATGACAAGGTCAGTGTCCCCTCAGGAGCCTTCATCTTTCTTAGGTAGTAAAACTTGGCGGGGAACAGAACCCCCCACCCCCACCCCGACTGTCTGGCTCTCTCTAGACAGAGAGTGAATTGGCCAGGGCAGGTCCTAGGCGGAAGTTTAACAGCTCCCAGGCACCTCTAATGGGCGATCTCTGGGGAGACTCAGAACCAGAATGCTCTGCCCTCTCCAGGAGGGGCTGCTTTCGTTAGGAGGAGCCCTGGTGACATGATATATTACGCATTGGACTGCTAGCAGCAAGATCAACACTTTGAATCTGCCAGCCACTCCTCAGGAGAAAGAGGCTGCTTTCTGCTCCCAACGAGATTTACAACCTGCATTGGAAAGCCTCCCTCTTCAGGGCTTCTATGAGTTGAAATTGATTCCATGCAGTGGGTGGGCCGGTGATGTATGGAGCCCTGGTGGTGCGGTGGTTAAGCTCTTAGCTGCTAACTGGAAGGTCAGCAGTTCAAACTCACCAGCTGCTCCAAGGGTAAAGATGGACAGACTTGGAAACCCTATGAGGCAGTTGCCATGAGTTTTGGGGTGTGTGTTGTGTTTAGTCCTGAACTCTGTGACAGACAGAGCCTGGATTGGAAAAGCCTTAGGGTGAGAGGTCTCGCTGCTCACACACAGTCTCTCGGGGGCTGTGGTGGCTCGAAGGGACTAGAAGAGATAGCCTTTTCCTCATGGACAGAGACAAGAGAGTCGGCCCCTCTACAGGGGTACAGGAGAAGCACCTGAGCTGTCAGTCAGAGCTGAACTATCTGCAGCAGGTCACGCACTCTCTCCCATGTACCTCCACCCCACCCCACCCCACCCCACCCCACCCCACCCCACAGGGTGCGTTCTGTTTCCCTGACTTTCAACCACAGCAACCTCAGAGTCACCTGGGCAACGTTCAAAGCGCCCCCTGAACAGGCCAGCAGGTTCATCAGGAGGGTGGGACCACACAGTGGGTATTTAAAAACCTCCCCAGGTGACTCTGATCTCCATCACACGTGTGCAAGCGCATCGCCAGCAAAACGCTGTGCAGTGAGAAAGGATCTTTATTATTTTAAGGGTGACACCCAGATTCCAGTGAAACAGGAAACAGAAAAGGGAAACCAATCCTCGGATAAACCTTCAACTTTGCTATTCATAAGAGAAATCATTGAACAGATACTGAGCCTATCAACTCACTAAACAAAAGTCTGGTTTATCACCGTACATTGGTATAGTCATGAAAATAAGAGTATATGATCGGTATGGATAGGGAGACAAACGCATGGGAAACTCAGGGAGGAGAACACGAGTTACAGTGAACAGAAGTAAATACTGTTCACTGGTGGGGCATGCAGGGGACTGCAATCATTACAATGACATGAAATGTAGGATTTGTTTGAGTGTGGAACTGATGATCTGTTCTGTAAACCTTTACTCAATTCACAATAAAAGGTTATTTTAAAAGTCTATCAACGTAATGATCACAACTGTGCACAAAATTTGAAAGCCCACGGAGAGACTGGAACAATGGAGCCAAATCCAACCCACTGCCTTCCAGTTGATTCCGACTCACAGTGACCCTGTGGTGGCGTTTCTGAGACTGTAAACCCAGCAACTGCTCAGCAAGGCAAAGATGTGGCCGTGTGCTTCCCTGGAGGTGACAGCCTCGGCAACTCTACAAGGTACCTGTGAGTTGGAACTGACCTGACGGCAATGAGTTTGGGTTTATCTGCTTCACTTTATTGTTCTTATCCTAAAAACAGTTAACTCTTTTACTTGCTCTTACAGGGACCATGTCCTGGTGCGGCACTGTGGGATAAAGCCCTAGACTGGCAAAGTCGGCTTGAATCACAAGGTTGGCGGTTCAAGCTCACCAGCTGCTCCTTGGAACCCCTATATAGGGTTACTATGAGTCGGAATTGACTCAGCTGCTAAAGAACTGCTGCCAGAGTTGCTGATTTTTACTTGACCCCTCCTGTACTCAGGTGTTTTGTTGCTGTTAAGTGCTGTCGAGTTGATTCCGACCCATAGCAACCCTGTGTAGGGTTCCTGGCGAGCGGCTAGTGAGCTTGAACTGCCAAACTTGCTGTTCAAGCTGACTTTGCAGTTGAGCACATTAACCCACAGCGCCACACCAGGACTTCAGTATGACTGTCCATGTGGTACAATGCGTGAGTCAGCGGGCCCTGTGTAGTGTGCCCCCTCCCCAAGGACAAGAGTGGGGGCCTTGGCAGTTCCCCTGCCTTCCTGGGCCCCTGAGACCACACAGCCACAGTCAGGGAGGGCCAGCTCTGGGCAGCCTTTGCCCACCTTCTGTCCCCTCCGTGTGCTCTCACTACACCTGCAGGAGACCCGGGCTGCCGGCAAAGCTCACCGTAAGTCAGGCAGCTGAGGAGCAGCAACAGCAAGAGGAAGTAGAGGAACGCTCTCAGGGATGGGACTCGCCTAGATCACACAGGAGGGGAGGATGGAGAAGGCAGGATGAGAGGAGGGCTTTAGAACCACCATGTCCCCCCGGGGGGCCCTGGGGATTTCTCCATTCATGCAGAACTAGAGTTTAAGGAGGACACTCATGAGCTTCCTTCCCATCATGCCCAGGTCAGAGTGTATGCCCCACAGTTTTACTTGCAGGACTTGGATCAATGGGGATGATTTTGGCTCTGAATTAAGATGTTATTAAAATATAATATATGACCTTTGAAAAAGTGGCATTTTTCATGTATAGTAAAGTAAGCAACTATGGAGTCCTTCAGTGGTACACATGGCTAAGGCACTTGGTTATTAACTGAAAGGGTAGAGATTTAAATCTCCCCAGAGGTGCCTGTGGAGAAAGACCTGGTGATCTGTTACTGGACAGTCAGCCACTGGAACCCTAGAGTATACGTCCACTGACACACGCGGGCCGCTGAAGCCCTATAGAGTATACATCCACTGACACACATGGGCCACTATAAGCTGAAATTGACTGATTTGGCTGTTTTTTTTTTTAAAGCAAATACATTTTTAAAATGCAAAACTCCTTCAATAAACTTGAACTTTTCTTTTTTAAAACATAAGAATGAGTTTGTTGACACAAATGCGTTCTTGCCCCACTTGTCAGCATGGCTGGCTCCCACCATGACTTGGGACCCTGATTTCTGACAGAATCCTCTCTCTATGGCCTGGGGGCAAGCTGCTAAATCCTGCTGGATGAGGGATGAGGGGCAAACCCAGGGCAGCCTCAGGCAGTGCCTTCTGAACGCATGGGGGTCTAGGGTGCTCCAGGCCACGGGGAAGTTTAGCTCTCAGGAGACCCTACTTCTCTGCTGGAGCCTGAGGCCTAACCAGCAAAGGGAAGGCCACGAGGTTTCATCTGAGTCCCAGGAAGTGCTGGCTGCTGAGGGCTTCAAGAAGAAACCTCCCCTCTGTGCTGCAGGACCCGCAGAGGAACGGAAGTGTCACTGACTCTAGACTCGGTCAGGAGGGATGGGCCCTGGAGGTCCTCACGAAACCAAGGAGGGACAGGCCCACTGCAAGACTGGACACTACATCCGTCTCCTTGGTTCTAGGACTTTCTGGTTCTTTGTCAAGGTTGGAGTCTCACGCACCTGGTTAAAACGAAGACGTCCAGGAGGGAAGCGGCTGTGGTCAAGCGGTACCAGGTGGTGCCGACCCACCAATAGAGAAGCCCAAAGAGCCTGCCTGAAAAGAGACAATGCAACCTCAGTCTCTGTCCCTTGACCTCTGCCTACTTGGTGTCCTTCCTGCCTCCAATGCACACCAACCTGACAGTATGCCTCTGTCTTGCCCCATGTTGACTAGCCCCCTGAACCTCACCTGTCTTGCTCTGCAGTGGCCCCTCCCTTTTCAGGAAAGGGCCTTCACATGTTCTTTCACGAGGGTCCCAATGTCCTAGGAGCCATGGCAGAGAGATGGAACACCCACCTGAAGAAGACCCACCTGAGTGCCAGCACCCACCTGGAGAAGTAACCACCATCCAGAGCAACGAGCCTGCCCGAGAGACAGCACTCCTGAGCCGTGAAGCTGAACTTGGTTGGTCCAGCTCCGTTGAGTAGCCTGCAGGTGTGAGGAGAGGAAGCCAGCTCAGTTTGCCCTCGCTTTAGGAGACCTGGGATATGGAAACTGTGGTGGTCACCTCCTCCCTTAACCCCAGTTGAGAGCCCGAGGAGTCAGCTCCTTCCCATTCCCAGAGCTTCCCCCTGCCTGGCACGGAGCAGTCAGGGACTGTCTGCTGAGGAAACAAAACAGGTACTCTGTACTTTCGATCCACTAGAGATCCTTCTCATCCCTGCACACCCCTTCTGACCACCAACCCTCACGGTGGTATCCAGAATTAGCCTCGTTCATGGGCCACGGGCTGCATTGCTGGGCATGAGCTAACACGCGGGATGGTGGTAAGGGAGGGGCAGATACGTGACAGGACAATCACAGCACAGTGACTTGGTTCAGGGCACCTTGGCTGCCACCTGAGGGAGGTCCCAGCCAGTCTGCCAGGTGCTCAGCAGAACCCCGGCTGGGCTCTTCCCAGGCTCCCCATGGCCTCCCCAGTAGTCACGGGGTGGGGTTTGCATCGGGAGGGGAGGAAGGCCTGTCTACCTATGTAGTCGTCCTCAGAGGAATAGCCCGAGGAGGAGGCCAGGAAGTCCTCAGAGCCCTTGCTCTCCCCCACGAGCCCGTTGATCTTGCTGCTCTCGGTGCCCCCTGTACCTCTTCTTCTCCTCACCCGCAGATCCTCACCTGGGGAGGAAGAGCACAGGTGTGAGAAACAGCTGTTGGGGTGATCCATCTTCAGAACCAAGGCTATCTTGGGGGTAGTGGGTTGTCATGACAAAAGGGAACTATGAGAAGAGGAAGAGACTAGTTTGACCTGCTGTTGTTCTTATTAAGTACCGTGGAGTCGGTTCCGACCCATAGTGACCCTGAACAGGGTTTCCAAGGGAGCTGAAAGCCTCATCTTTCTCCCGCGGAACAGCTGGTAATTTCAAACTGCCGACCTTGAGGTTAGCAGCCCAATTTATAACCACTACGCTTTTTAAAATAAGAATACAGCCATCAAGGAAGTTCATGGAGAGGGGATGAAACTAACTTTAAATGAGAATGCTCCCCGTAGGGACTAGTAGACTCCTTTTGGGAAAGATTATAAACTCCAAAGTACCCAGTAAAGGGGAAATGGAGGAGGGGGCTTTTTCCGAGCTAGGTTAATAAAAACTTTTTGTCAAATGGTCATGCAGCATGTCTGCCCTTGTCTACGGGGCAGGGCACCCGATCGGGCTGCGAACCTTAAGGTCAGCGGCTTGAAACTACCAGCCGCTCTGCGGGAGAAAGATGAGGCTTTCTACTCCCGTAAAGATTTACATCCTCAGAAACCCTGTACAGGGTCGCTATGGGTCGGAACCAACTCAACGGCACTTAACAACAACAACTCGCTAAAATGAGTACAGATTGGATTGCTTGAGCTCTCTGGGCCCAGATGGCTGCTTTGTCATCTCAACGGGCCTGAGAGGCAAGCAGACTCAACCACTCCAGAGGAGACTGGGGAGCCCATCCTCTGGGCCAGATGTGGTTAGGAAACTCCCCAGTGAGAAAGTGGGCCATCAGCTCTCAGAGGAATCAAAGGAAGCAAACCCAATCCAAGCCTGTTGCCCACAGGTCAATTGTAACTCACGGCAACCCATGTGCTACAGAGCAGAACTGAGATTCTTAGGGCTCACAGTGTCTCTGATGGGTTTGAACCATCAATCTTTCCACTGCTAGTGGAGAGTAAGCCAATTGCACAACCCAGGGTCTGGAGGCAGCGAAGCCTCAAGAGAAAGTTTTTGGGCACTCACTCCAGTAGGGGTCGCTGTGCAGCTGATTGTCAAGGATGGAGGTCCGGTCGAGGAGGGCGCTCCTGGCCAGGGAGGTGGCCCGGGGGCTGCCTATGTAAGACTCCCTGACCACAGACTCGCTGTAGTAGGAGGTGTGAGTGTCGGAGGAGGGAGTCAGCTGCGGCACTGGAGACAGACGCTTCATGTTGCTGGATTTCCTCTTCAAGGTCCTGTGGGAGATGTGTCATGAGAGGGGGGGAGGGGCTGGGCGAGGGGAGCCTGGTGGGAACCAGTGGTGTCACTAGAGGGTGCAGGAGGAGGGGTGAGAGCAGCACACCCAGACACTGTCAGAGGGGGTGACACCAAAATGACCCTAGGGTCTGTGGGGGCATTGCTGTTGGGGGTAGAGCAGTAGTGTCACTAGTGTGATAGTCCTCATCAAACCCCACCACCACCACCACTGGGTGAAGAGGAGGGTCTCTGCCTTGTCCTATGGGAGAGCCCTGGGGATGGGGTGGGACTTGGGGGGGGGGGAACACCATGAGTTACCATACTGGTGACGTATTTGGTGGGGACAGTAAAGAAAGCCCACTAGTGCCCTCAATTACTCTAGTCTTGTTGCCAGGCAACCTCGGAAGTGCGGTATAGTCTCTCTGCTCCTGTACCCTCTAAATTTCACCAACAATTAGACATGATCAGCAGTAAGGGATGAAATCAAGATTGGAACCCAGGCCTCTATGTTTCAAAGCCAGTTTTCCCCATGCTTTGTAATGGAGTCCTTTCTACCACCTATCCACTGCCCGTGACCCCAAAAAGGGTTTCTGAGGTTGCAAACCTTTAGGAGCACAGACAGCCTCATCTTTCTCCTGAGGAGTGACTAGTAGGTTTAGCAGTCCAATGCCTAATCCACATTGCCACCAAGGCTCCTTCATTCCCACAGCCCACTGAAAACCTAGATACAGCTGACCTGACCTCCTGGAGCTAGCAAAGCTGCAGGCTGTTATCAGATTCATGTCTGCTGGGGGGAGGGGGGGCAGGACAAGGAGGTGGTACCCACTGTGGCCCTCCTTGCCCAGCTTGCTCCACTCTTCAGCCCTTTATTGGCCAGCTGCTGACCCCCTATGGCTACTGAAGACATGTGGACCTGGGGCCTGGGGGAGGGTCAGACAGGCACACCCATCCACAGCAGATGGGGCGTCCGGGAGCTGAGTCTCAGGGTTTCCGGCCTGCCTCTCCCCACTTCCTGTTCTCTGCACAGGAGGGCAGCCCTGGCTGACAGTGGGGGGTGGGGGAATGATACTGGGTCCTGGGACCCTGTGAAAGAAAGAAGAGTCCCCTGCCAGGTGTGGCCATTGCATTCGGCCTACAAGAGGTCGTGGCAGGAAGAGGCCGGCCAGTGAAGCTGCTCAGTACATCTGCTCTACGGATGGCTGCCATCTACAGGGGTCTCTCGGGTCCCCTACCTGAGAGGACTGTCTTTAAACAGGGTGGTCTGGCTCCCCATGACGGAGCTTCCGCCACTGCTGCTGCTGCCCCCATCATCATCCCCCTGGGAGTAGCGTGAGAGGCGCTGGCTTCGTCGAGACATAATGAAGCGTACTGCAAATCCTTCTGTGGAAGTCTTGGGAGAGAAAGGAGAGCAGCAGGTGAGACCGGGGGCTGTTCTCCAGCCCCTTCTTGGAGGAGCAGAGAACAGATCACCCCGATTTGTGCAACCTTAAAGAGCTCTTGAGCTGGGGGCACAGTGTGGCTTTCGTTAAACTTTCCCAGCCTGCCTCTCTTGCTTTCTGAGCAGCCAGGGAGCCTCTTTTGTGAGGACACTGGTGGCTCTGTGGTAGAGTTCTTGCCTTCCACGTGTGAGACCCAGGTTTGATTCCCAGCCACTCCCTGTCTGTTAGTGGGTGATTGTGGGTTGCTATGAGGTGGAACAGGTATTAGCAGAGCTTTCTAGGAAGAAAAGGCTGGTAAATGGCTTCCAAAACCCAGCCAGTGGAAACCCTATCAGTCACAATGGTCTGATCCACAAGCGATCTTGAGGATGATGTTGAATCAGGCAGCATCTCCGTCCACTGTGCATGGGATCGCCATGAGGCTGACTGGACAGCGGTTAACAACAGCAAACACCTCTTTCCACAAAGTTTTGTAATTGTTTTGTTTACTTGTCTTTGTCCTCCGTGGCCCTGAGCTTTGGGAGAACCAGAAGCTCTATTTTGTTGTTGTTGTTAAGTGCCCTTGAGTCAGTTCCGATTCATAGTTGACCCTGTATAGGGTTTCTGAGGAGAGGCTGACGAGCATGAACTGCTGACCTTGCGGCTCAAAATGACCTTGTGGTCCACCACATTAACCCCCAGCGCTGTTCTACATGCCTTTGAAATCCGGCAACAGACAGCCTCATCTTTGTCCTGAGGAGCAGTTAGTGGATTTAAACAGCTGACCTGGTGGTTTGCAGTTCAGTGCTTATCCCATAGTGCCACCAGAACTCTGTAATAGTAGGTTTGGTTTTCTGGGTTGGCTTTATGCCTTTGATAGCACGGTGACTCTATACGATAAACACCGGATTGTGAATCACAAGGCCGGTGGCTCAAGCCCATCAGCTGCTCCACAAGAGACAGATGAGACTTTCTGCTTCTGCAAAGATTTACAGCCTCAAAAACCCGATCACAACATTTCTTTGACTTGCAGCAGAGAATCGGGCATGTAAAAAGCCACCCCATGCAGACACTGTGGTCCAGCCATCCCACTGCACTGCCCCCTCCCTCAGCTGTATCTCTCTCTGTTCGCTCATACCACTTCCCTGAGATGGGCTATATCTTTCTTACCTTTCTGCTCATCGAAACTCACTGACTTAGAGCCCCAATCAAAACTTAACTCCAAAAACCTTTTCCCTGGTAAGCCCTGGCTGAGTTCTGACGGCCTTTCTAAGTTGTCTAGCAATGCCTGTACATTTTGGTATGGTGATGATCAAATGCTTTGTTTAAATGCCTACCAGGTACCACGATCCTTCCATACTCCATTTCTGACTCTCAAAAGCTCCATTCTGCAAAGGAGCCCACGGGTCTGAGTTGATGGCAGCTTGTCCACAGTCTCCCAGACACAGTGATTGAGTCAGAACGTGAGCTCCGATCCTACAGGGTGCACGGCTACTAGACAGTTGTTAATTTGTTTCAGGAATGTGTTGTGTATTCCCTCTAGTGTCTCTTATAGCCCAAATATGCTCAGAACAGGCTATGTATACAGTAGCTACAGGACAAAGATTTGTTAACAAACTAACCAAAACGGAGGTGGAACAGCAAGTGTGACATTACAGTCAGTCCCTAGCCACCTGACCATCACCAACACGGTGGGAAATCAGGGCTGTGAAACCACAGTGAGGTTGCCTAGGAGGCCAAAATGAGACCTGGCAGCAGGCAGTATTCTCCACACACGTGGGAGGTTTACTATGAAGCCATCCCGCTCTGGAAACTCAAACTCACCATCTCAGAGTCTCCTCTTAGCAACTTTGCTGCTCATGTTACTAAGTCACTATTGTAGCCTCGACCCCACTGAAGGTGCCTGGTACTTGTGACTTTTTAATCACTTCTGACAATCATGGTTGGTTCTGAAATGACTAGCTGTCTGGGTTGTGTGGGGGGCACAGACTTCAACACATCCCAACCCAGACTCTGGAAACCAGAAGGTCTGGTTAGTCCAGCTGTAGGGTTCTAAAAAGTCATCTTCAGAAAAACAAGCAGCCTCATGTCCTGGTCTCACAGGCATCTTCCCAGGTAGGTATCCCACCTGGCATCCCTCCTTGGGGTTCAGCCAGTGTTGCCACGGCGGGGAGCAGGCCTGGGTTTTTGCTATATGCCATTCCTTATATGGTATTTCCACTTTCATTACTCCTCTTGTTGTTAGGTACTGTCCTGTTGATTCCCACTCATAACTATGCCATGTGACAAAGTAAAACAGCCTGATACAGTTTGTCAACTTTACAGGAGCAGATTGCCAACAAAGTGGCTGGGTGGGTTTGAACGGTCAACTTTTCAGTTAGCAGTTGAGAACTTAAACATTGCACCATTGAAGCATCAACTTCCTACTACTGCACCCCAACCCCCCAAAAAACACAAAAAATCAACCAAATACTTCTAGGTGTTCACCGTAGTTTCCTCTTCTTAACCCCTGCCCTGGTGAAGTAGATACTGCCTTCCCCTGGGACTAGAAACCGAGCCACAGGACCCAGGCTGCTGCTGCCAGCTCTAAATGTTCTGGAAGAGGTGTGTGGGGGCACATGGGAGCTGTCAGCTCCGCCTCCACCCTCTTGGAAAAGCCAAGTCTCCCGCTTAGGGTCTCGGTAATCAGAAGACTGGGATTCACTAGATGGAAAAGGTTAAGGCCCCATCTTCCCAAACAGGAGAAAGCCTCTAGCAACTCAAATATTTTGCAAGTCAGAAAAGACACCCCATCCCTCTCCACACATACAATCCAGAAATCCTTCAATAAAACCACGGTGTACAGGAACCAAAATCCCTCCCACTTCTGAGCTGAACGCCACTGGATCTATCCTCATCACATGCTAACAACACAGGCTCGACTATCCATCCAATCTTCAGCCTTAACCCAGATCGCGGGCCTTTCCCACGTGACATTTTCACACTACATTCCCTCGTGGGGCCTGCAAGACCTCCAGGTGCCAACTTCTCTGTCCCTTCATTCCCCGCGGGCTAAACCAGTAGTTTTACAAAAGGCTCACCTGCTCTAGGCTCTAAGTCACAACCCTCCCCCTCCCCCGTCCGTTTGGGTTTTGAAATCAACAGAACAAAATGGACCTTCCTCCTGCAGCCCTGTCCCCGGAGTTCAGACAGGCGGCGGCGGTGGCGGCTGAGAACTGCCTGTCCCTGGAACTGCTGCCTGGCACTAGAGACGTAGGCACTGCCCAGGGCCGGCTGGGCAGCCCAGACTTTGCTCTCCGCCTCCGGGGAGGCTCTCCCAGGGAAGTCCCGCCTGGAGTGGCCCGCCCTCGGGACTGGCCAGTGAGGCCACTGGATCTGGGGCGGGTGCACGGCCGGGAGATGAGTCAGGGCGGCTGGCCTGGGCACGGCTCGGCCCTGCCCGCTCGGCCCAGGGGCGTGCGCTCGGCTGGGCTGGAGCCCAGTCCGGCCTGGGCCCGGAGGAAGAGCCAGGCCTGGTCAGCTCGGCCCGGGAGAGAGTAGAGCTGCCCGGCCATGGCCCCGGGGTCAGGCTGGGCCCGAGGCCCGCGGGAGACGCACGCGCACCGGCCCGGCACCTTCACGCAGCGCGTCCGCCCTCTAGAGACCCACGGCTAGCACCCGGTTACCTACTGCGCTGCTCTTCCGTGCGGGCCGGAGGCGTCCGAGGCCGGGCGCGCCCCCTTCCCAGGCCGGAACCCGCGCGGGGCCGAGGCAGGCTGGGCAGGCGAGCGGGCGGCTGCGGGAGGCGCGGATCCTGGACAGCGGACAATGCGGCCAGTGAGGCACGAGTGGGGCCGGGCGGTGCGCGCGTGGCCGAGTGTGTATGTGTGCGCCTGTCAGTCAACACTGACAGACCGCGGCCCATTGGGCAGGCCCCGCCCGCCGTCACCGCCCATCGTCGCCGCCCATTGGGTGGTTTGAACACAAAGGCCCCGGCTCGCCCCGCCCGCCGCGTGGGCCCAGACCCGGGCGCGCCTCGCCTGGAAGCTCGCGCGTGGGAGGCCTTCGAGCTCGGGTCGCGGTTCCCAGACGTCGGAGGCCGCCTCTGGAATCGGCAAGCGGGGGGTCCAGGGTTGCTGGGTCAGGCTGCGCACTTGACCCCAATCTGTGGTCCCAAACACCTGACAGACCTTCCTGAGAGTCCCTCTTGCGCCTCTCGTCCACGTTCTGCTTGTTCCGTTCTTTTCAAAACCCGAGCTGGCGGCTGCTCACGCCCCCATGCCACCCTCCCAGCAGCGGAGTCCCAGCTCCCTGCAAGCGAGCTCAACAAGGCAGGGGTGTTAGGACCTTAAGGACATTGGGTGACTGGGGCACACCTGCCCCCAAGGATGGCCCGAGGGAAAGGGGGGCAAGGGCGGTAGAAGACCCAGACTGGGGTCCCACCTGGAGCGGTGTTTTTGTGCCTTTAGTGGGTTCCTGGTAAAGGATTGCTGAAGGCTTGTTAAATGCCTAGGACTTGCACAATAGTTCTGGTCACCAGACATTTCTAACACACGTTTTACAGATAAGAAAACAGGTTCATAGAGGTTTTAGGTTTGCGAAAAGTCACAGCTAGGAAGAGGCAAAATTGAGATGAGATGAGTCCACGCCCAAGCCCCAGTTCTTCCCATTTCAGAGCTGATTTTGGCATTCCAGACAGGGTCAGAGGCTCTGCCCCAGAGCAACTTCCGGGCAGAAGCTCAATTCATGCTAGGAGAAGACAGGACTGCCGACTAACACCTCTGTCCTCAGATTTGCACACACACACACACCCATCCCCACCCAGTGTGGAACGAGTGCTCAGTATGGAATCAGTGAAATGTCACCTGATTCAAGGCTCTTGTTCCTGGCTCCCCACAAGCCAAAGTTACATAGATTAATGCACAGAGTAGAAGCAATCACTTCCTGTATAAACTGTCTG